GTTGTTGTTGTTGAGAGAGAGAGAGAGAGAGAGAGAGAGAGAGGAGAGAGAGGAGGAGAGAGAGAGAGAGGAGAGAGAGAGAGTGAGAGAGAGAGAGAGAGTTCTGTTAGGAAAAACAAATGGTGAGGATGAGAGATTAGAATGTTATTTATAAAATTCCTGTTAAATTGGTTTTTGTTTTCTGTTTGAGTGAGATGGCAGGTAGTTAATTCAGTTAGGGTGGTTTTGAAGTTGGTTAGAACTATGTTTGATCTTGTTTGGGTTTTTATATGCAGAGCATCTGTTTTGATGTTGTGAATATTTGGATAAGTGAAGAAACCTTGGTCGTTGGATCTCTAAAGTCGGTTAGAGATGGAGGGATCAGATGAATCGGATTAGAGTTTTCTATAGAGATTAAAAAGTTAATATGAGCTGTGAAATTCAGTTAGGAAAATCAATTAAGAACAGTTAGGTATTTAGTAACAATAGTTTCGATTTTCTTTTCTGTTTTTCCTCCTGTATAGAGCATCAGTACTGACTGTGATTTTGTGGCTGCATTGTAATGTTTTTTTTTGTTTTGATATGTTGTAATGTTCGCATTTTTATAGGTTTTGTAGTGTAATTATCTTTGAATCATGTTGTATGGATATCATGCCTATTGGATTTTATATTGGCGTCTGAATTGTGACTGTAGACACAAACGGAGTCTCTTTGGGCTTTTCTTGGAGCTGGACCTTGAATATAGGAAGGACTCTTCTACTGAATTACCTTGTAATCCACCTGCCTTGTGCACCTTATTTGAACTCAGAACTGGTTTATATGTTAATATGATCTAAACTGGATTACGTTGGTTATGTTGAAACTGTTTTCTTTTGTTTTTTCTGTTATGATATCAATGGATGGGCCAGTTCTGAATTAACTATTCTGATCCTTAATTTCTGATATTATTCTTTTTCTGATCTTTCCATGAACGACACGACATGAATTCTTGTCAGCTCTTTTTTTTTTGTGATTTGCTGAAATGAACTTGAACTACAGCTTTGTGTGGAATGCAATTTTTCCTCATTGTATGATTTTTTCTGTATTTGAACTTAGATGTATGCAATGTGAGTTTCATATGCATCTTTTTTTTGCTTTGATGTGAATTATGTGTGTTCTTTTCTGGTCTTAATTGATGTAGTATTAGGACTACGACACTTTTTAGATGTATGTTGAATTATGGTGCATTGGTTTGAATGTGTGTACATTGAACAATGTATGTTTAGCTTAACTAATGTGGTATTTGATTATGCAGGTTTTGAAGAGGAAGGCTCAGTGAATGAACCTTGATGTAATGGCTTGGTCATAAAGAGAGCTCAAAGCAAGTTGAAGTTAGATAATGAGTGGAAGAGAGATAAGCCTAGGAAAAATTGGGGTCATAGTTTAAGTTCTGGTCACTGGTATGGTTAACAGTAGTACAAAATGTATTTTTTGGATGCCAATTTAATTTTTGTAACACCTTTGGTACTTTGAATTTTGTAATGAAACGTAGCACTTGGAACTTGTTCTTGAAAACAAGAAATACAAATAGAAGAAACAAATTCCCTCCCTTATGCTTTTTTATTTTGGAATTCCAAGTCTCTTTTGACTTTTTGCACACTTGAAAAATTACTACCAATGAGATGAAGATCCAATCCAAAAGAGATTAATAAATACCTTTGGTTAAAGTTTAAACCAAATTCTTTTTCAACTTGACATGATTCTCCAATCATTATGCAAATTCCATTTCTAATCCTCCAATTTCCTTGAGTAAAGTTCAAATCAAACGACGTGTATAAAAAGTAAACTATTAACTAGATGAAGTGTGTTATGTACCATAGCACCCATTACACCCCAATTCATGAAGTAGATTCATTTGCCTCTTCTCTTGCATAAAGTCATGAATATTCCAATATCTCTTCAATAACTTACACCCTTGGAATCATGGTTAAGCCCTTGAGTGAGCTTTGAATAATGAGATGTATTGATGAACAACTTCACATGGAACACCCTCTCGAAGTCCACATGATTAGGGGAATAAACCCTATTTCATGCGGGGTCAAAAAACATAAGGATGGACTTTCAATACATGTGCTTGTAGCCTTTTGGATGACACTTGTGGATGTCTTGTGTTGTAAGCAATAATAACCCCTTCTTGTTGAAGAAGAAGTCAAATGAGGTTGAGTATAATTGCCTTGGAAGATTTAATGTATCCAAGCCTTGAGTATTCATCAGGCATTCTTAAATATAGGGTGCAACCCTAATTAATGATCTTTGTCTCTTAAGTTGAAATAAACCTTGCAAAAGCTATGAAACCTAAGCACCAATATGAAACCCTAATCCCATGACATTTGATCCAAGTGCCAAGCCTTGTTGTTAGTGAATGCATGCAACGTTAGATGACCTAATGGAGGTTATGTACATGGGTAGAATGAGATGCATAAGCTATATGTTTTTTATCAAAGGGTAGACAAATTTGGTGTATGATAATTATGCCTTAAATTTCAAGAAAAGTTCAAAATATTCAAAGTTTATTCAATTGGTTTGTCCTAATTTGGATAAGTCCTTGATTCTATGATCACAAGTGCATAACTACCTCAATTTTCAATATTTTGAAGTGGTTCTTTTTACTATGAACTTTTATAATCATTTACAAAAACTTCTCTTCACATGACAAGATCCAATTGTGGAAGGAGAATCATCAAAAGTTTGAAAAGATTACAAGTCCTTTAAGGAAGCCATGAAAATCTTTAACTTTACTTCTAAATATCATAACTTGGTCAATTTTAATCTCCTTGAGCTTATTCTTTTTTCATAAGAAACTTGAAGATGTCTACTACAACTTTGATTCAAGGATCAAGATCTAAAAATGTGTAGTTATGGAATTTAATAAAACATTAGAGGTCATTTGTGGATTCCTCAAGAAGTTTTCATCACCTTCTAAGGACCATAACTCCCTCATTTTTTATGATTTTTGAGTGACCTCTATTCCAAAATTCAATTTAAAGAGTCTAATTCATTTCATCTTCAATTATCAAGAACTAATTTTTAGTGGAAGGTTATGTAAGTTGGCAAAACATTATAGGTCATCTTGAATCTCCATCTTTAGAATTTTTCTAAGTGTCAAGAAACAGTTGATTTTTCCTAATTTCAAAATGACACAACTTTTAGCTCAAGTGTCCAAATGAATACTTTATTGGCTTATTGTAAATATTGTGATAAGGTCTTTCAAATGGAACAAGAATGAGATCATAAAGCCTTATGATCAAGTTGCCCCATGGATTTAAAGATCTCACCATGAAACTGGAGCTTCTCACTAAGTCAGATTGCAAATTAATTAATGTGGATTCTAATTATCAAATTGATGTGTGTTTTCCACTTCAAAATGATTAACAAAATTGCTTGGTGTCGTAACTGGAAAAAATTACAAGAGTCATCACCATCAATTTTTTGTTCTAAGGACGGGGAAATAACGGGTAACCCTAATTGTTAGAGATTTTAAGTTCGCGAGTTGATTAGACGAAGGGAAGGTGTTAGGCACCCTTCATCTTCCTTGTTCTCAATGGGCTCCTCTTCTAGGTCAAGGGTAAATCGGAAATTTCTATTTAACTGTATTGTTTCCATGTATTTGAGAAAAATGTTTAATTTTTTTAGTTGAGGGACTCGCCTTGGTTTTAACTGCGTGCCTACGTATCTCCTTGCGTCCAATTTCATAGTTCGTATTGTTTGGTTGATGTTTTTTATAGGATTGCATAGAATTGCTTTCAAATTATCCTTAAACCTTCTCTGGGTTTGAAAAATGAGTGATCGTAGAGGAAGTTCGAAGTCGAGTTTGAAGGTAATGCTAATTAATCCTTTTTAGAAAATGAAATTCTAGTATCAGATATCTGATGTCGAATGAGATGCCACGACACAAATATCTATTTATAAGTAAAGAGCGGTAATAAAGAAAGCAGTAAAAACACAAGAAATTGTTCACCCAGTTCAGTGTACAACAACACCTACTCTAGGGGCTACTAAGCCAGGAACAAGTCCACTAAATAGTATCAATCTATAGACCCTCAGTAAACAACCAGTTTACGATCTAATCACTTAATCACTACCCGTGCTATACTTCTACCTGAGACTCACCTAGGTATGAGGCCCTCCTCAAATGCCTTCAATCACTTACAGTGAAGAAACAACATAAATACTAAGTTTAAAAAATTCAATCATTTAATGCTTAAAAGCTTATGAATGATCCACAATTACCAATCAAAATAACAATACAAGTATTAATTCAATACTAGAGCGTTTGAAAATTAAAAGACTTAGACTTCTAACAGAAAGAAAGTATTCTTCTTCAAAAATTGCAGTGGTTTGAATAAGGAAGCAAGTCCTTATATATGCGCAGCTGTGGGCTTGGGCTTAAAACCAAATATTCAATTCTTTTGAATATTTCCATAAAAATAGGCCAAGATAAAATCCATGCATTTTGAAAAATATTCCTCCATATTTTTCGCAGCCTGTGAGTCACAAATCTTGAATTATGGAGCGCAGGAAATCAGGAAACATAAAAACATAAATTGATGTTGGCTAAGTTCTTTTTATGAGGCAGATGTCAAGACATCTTCTTTGACATCATTCAAAACAATTTGCTGAAAACGTCAAGACATTTAGCAAAACGTTAACATCACATTGTTTTACCAAAATTGTTGCCAACAAACACTTACAAACACCCCCTTTGGCAAATTTTGGCTAAAACGTTATCAGAGCAGAGCAATATATATCATATTATCAGCATAAGCAAAGCAAGCACAAACTCAGTTAGCTGTTAGCTGTCAAAAGATCTTCTGAGACATGAGACTCTCCCTTAAGTATTAAGCTCCCCCTCAATCAGATGTCAGTGGCTAGTCAGTCACTT